GCTGACCATGTCCCACAGCCCACAGTCCTCAGGGCCACCTGGGGACACACGGGACGGCAGGACGATGGTGTGCTGCTGACTCGAGCTGAAGGGCTGACAAGGCAGGGCCAGGGCTGGGAGAGCAGAGGCTGCTGGACTTTCCCCTTCCACGGTTTATCCCACTGCATCTGATGACATGGGCTGCTGGTGCCATCCCCCCACCTCCACGTGATTGCACCCCCAGCCCAGCTCCCACCCATTTGTTGTTTCTCTGGCCCACCTCACCTCTGAGCTGTCCTTTGCGCTCTAGCCCCTGGCCTGAGGTAAAGGCTGTGCCTCTGAGGTGAGGGGACACAGAAACGGCCCCAAATGTTGGAGCAGTTGTCTACACACACGGAGGTGGGGGGACAACACATGACAGATGAAAACACACAGAATTCAATGAACCTGCCCCCTGAGCACTGCCCTAAGGCTGGGCGTCTCCGGTCACTAAGACAACCGACCACTCAATATCCCAGGACACTGATGTCCTAGGACACCAGAGAGGGACAGGGTCAGTGAGTGAAATGCTCTGGATGCCAGGGCACTGCAGAAAGTGTCTGTCCCGTGCACACCACTGACCCTAAATTCCATTTTCACAAGATGCTTATACAAAAACCCGAGAACTAGAGGCTGGGGTGGTTTATTTATTTTATTTTGCCACTCAAACTATCCAAGACAAAAATCTGAAATTGTAACCACACAGCGTCCAGGCAGAGAGGGCAGGAGGGCTGTGCTTGGTGTCACTGGCCTGCGAGGCCCCATCGTGCTCCTTCCACAGCCCCGCTGCGGCCACCTCTCAGGCCTGCTCTGTGTCCTCCAGCGGGAGGGACAGGGGCAGGTCCTGCAGGGCCCCGGCCTCTGCAGAGGAAGACACCCCAAAGGGACCCACGTCAGCACGCCCGGTACACAGCGGGGATGCAGGTCCCTGACCACCGAGACCTGACAGTCCTCTCTGTACCAGCTGCAGGGTAAGAAGCTCCTGAGGGGGAGCGGCCTCGAGGGCACCCAGCAGCTCTGACCCAGAGAGTGCGCTGCTGCTAAATGGAAGGTCAGCAGTTCAAACCCACTAGCCGCTCCTTGAGAGAAAGCTGCGGCCATCGGCCTCCATAAAGCTCCCGCCCTGCCTCAGAGCAGCTGGTGGATGTGAACCTCTGACGAGCTGGTTAGCACACAGCACGCACCACACACGTCATGAGAGGTCCCGTCCCGCTCCGCTCGGTCCTCTGGCATGCTAGGGGTCAGGATGGATTGGACTCGGGGGGGGGGGCGTCTGAAGGAGCTGTGCCCAAAGGAGTGCCTCTCGCTGGCACAGTTAGCTGGCCAGCTCTCCCCAGAGACAGTGTCCCTGCCCTGCTGGAGGCCACGCCCTGGGCACTGGACCAGGAATCCCGGGCCCTCCCTGCCACCTGATAGGGACACAGGCAGATGGCCCAGGGAGCTCCCAGCAGGTCTGCATGGTTTCTGGGAACACCTGCGGTTTTGTGGTACACCAGAGGTTTCTGGGTGCCCCGAGTGGACTTGGCACTGGCCACGCCCACCTACCTCTGAGCTGCAGGAAGGTCAAGAACTCCACTATGGTGCGCACCACACTGCTCTCAGGCAGTGGCCGGGCGAAGCTTCCTGAAGAGAAGAGACCATGATGTCCACCATGCCCCCCAAATCGTCCCCCCCTCTCCCCGGGGATGCTGGGGACAGGGAGGCCGATGCATTGCCCGAGGAACAGGTCCTGCTGGGAGCAGGGAGGGACATGGTGGGTGGACCAGCCAAGGGTGAAAAATGCCAGGAGGTCTGTGGTCATTGCCAAAGTCAGGTCTTGGTTCTGAGCAAGTGGGGTCAGCTCAGACTGTGGGGTGCTGGGTGAAAACAGGCGGAGGAGGGGAGAGGGCAGGTCATGGGGGTTAGCAGTGGCTCACCTGGAGGGGGAGGGGCTGTCCTGGAGGGGGAGGGGGCTGTCCTGGAGGGAGGGGGCTGTCCTGGAGGGGGAGGAGGCTTTCCTGAGGGGGAGGAGGCTGTCCTGGAGGGAGGGGGCTGTCCTGGGAGGGAGGGGCTGTCCTAGAGGGGGGAAGGGGCTGTCCTGCAGGGGGAGCTCACCTTGCTTGGTCTCCTCCTCGTCCAGCTGCAGTTCCCGCTTGCCGGCAAGTCCGTGCTTCTCATGGAAGGACCTGTGGTTGTCAATGGCGTCTGCCCACAAGCCAGAGAGAGACTCGTTACTTACGCCCACCTACTCCACAGAGACCCCAGCTGGGTCCCATCCAGGCACCCCACCTCAGACACTGGCACCCAGAGGGCAGGGATGATCGCCAGGGCAGAGGGCAGTGCCACTCATACAGATTCAGAGAAAGAAGAGACCCGGATGCCGAGGGGGCCAGGGGCCTGCATCTCAAGGGGTCACAGGTGCCTGGCTCCAAGCTGGGGTTTGTAGTTAGAGTGGGTCATCCAGAGAGATGGGGGCAGGACTGGGGTTCACAGGCTTGAAATGGGACTCTGAAGAAGCTCAAGTTCAGACATAATCAGATTGTAATTGTTCTGCAGAAGGTGGACTGGAGGCAGGAAGAAGGGGGGGTGTGTGCGCGCACACGCACGTGTGTGTGTGTGTGTGTGTGTACATGCATGAGGTGGTGGGAGAGAGGGATGCAGTCAACAGGCAGAATGTAAGAAACATTCGTGGTGGTCCAGGAAAGAAAAGCCGGGGATGGAGGGTGAGGGGCTGGGAATGGAGGGCAGGGGCTGGACAGAGGGTCCTGAGGGGCCAGCAGAGAGGGCAGGCGGGGGAAGCTGTCCCAAGGTGCTGGCTACTCAGGCCCTTGGGTGGGGTCTCCCCAGGCCAGACATGAGCTAATGAACTCTCCCCACAAAGACAGACAGACAGTAGTCCGCACTAAAACAAGAGGTGTCAGAGGGCCTGCGCCTCCCAGACGCGCACCGTCCACTCTTCTGCACAGACAGCAGGAACAGCTTCCCAGATCTGCGCCCGCCCTGGCCACAGGGTCAATGGCGGGACAGTGGGGAAGAAGCCTGGGACAGACGGCCCCTCTGAACAGACAGGACCCCTCTCACTGAAGAGGAAAAAGGAGTGTGTTCCGTGAGTCAAGACTGAAGGCCCCATGGATGTAACTTCAAGATCTGTTCCAGCGACTAAGCGCTCACGGCTGTCAGAACAAGCACATTCGGTTCCTGTTCTGCTTCCCTTCACAGCAGAAAAGACTCCAATGCTGTGACTCCCCCCAGCTGCCTGTGCAGCGATTGTAAGGAAGGATCTGTTGGGAGCAGAAGATCTGTGGGGACAGGGACTGGTCCTAGTTAAGGAATGCAGCTAAAGCAAAAAAGGTCAGCAGTTCAAACTCACCAACTGCTCCAGGAGAGACCCATGTGCACAGTGCTTCCAGAGTTTTACTGGGAAGCCTGTGGGGCCTCTAGACTCTCCCCTGTAGGGCTGCTATGAGCCAGAGAGGGCTCCCTGAGTCAGTCAGGGTGGACCCCCGAGTCAGGGTGGACCCCCGAGTCAGGGTGGA